AGGGAGTTCCCCATTGTGTAAGTGTGCTGCTGGTTCCTGCTGCCCAAGTGCAGCACCCTGCACTTGTCCGTATTGAAACGGATCCTGTTCCTGTTAGCCCACCCCTGTAACCTATCCAGATCCCTCTGCAATCTCTCACTCCCTGCTAGCGTGCTCACCTCCCCCCAAATTTTGGTGTCATCAGCAATGAATGAATCATAGAATCATAGAAGTAGGGTCGGAAGGGACCTTGTAGATCTTCAGGTCCGACCCCCCGTCTGGGCAGGAGAAAAGACTGGACTCAAATGAGTCCAGCCAGGTAGTCATCAAGCCTCTTCTTAAAGATCCCCACAGTGGGAGCCAGCACCACTTCCCTAGAAAGCTGGTTCCAGGAAATTCCTCTGCAGAAGTTTTAAGTTTGAAAATGTATCCTTGCTCCATTCAGTTAGCTTAATAGGTTAATAAAGAACAATTATGAGTATTTAGACACACAACATATGAAGAGGGTAGTGGGAATGAAATCTTATACCAAAGTCAAACAGGTTCTATTGAGTCAAAAAACAACCATGTTGTCCTGTAGAGAGACACTGTTTCAGTCGTAAAGTCTTCTCATGAAATTTTTTTACATTACTGGAAAATCTCTTTGACTATATGTTTTGTCCCTATAGTCTGTTGTGGAAGGGAAGCAGGACTCTTCTGGTTAAAGTACAGACTACACTACACCTTCAGTACTACGGGGCTGAAATCCCTCCCTCCGGAGACTGTTAAAATCTAATCGTGTTACAACTTCACAGCGCACAAGAAGGGTATCATCTTTTACAAAGGTTCTTTGTTTCAGAGCTTGCAGGTGCATGAAAGTCACGTAACCAAAACCCTTTGGGTTGCGGTGGACTGTTGGTCTCTGGAAGGCTAGCAGCTCAGGTTTGGCTTCCATTACTTCTTCATGATTCAGCCTTTCAGGTCCTTCAGACTGATCCAGAATAGAAAGCCGTATGGTGCCCTGGAATGGCCAAGGCAGGTAGCTGTCATATTCCCCTTGCATAGTATGGACAAAAAGGGATATAAAGTTAGCACAACGCTGAGAATTTGGTAACTGGATATGCAGACGCAAACAGAGTTTGTAGCCAGGTTTTCCAGTGTAGAAGCCAGGGCTGTGTGTCACAACAGGCCTTTCTTCTTCTTGGGCTTTCAGAAGTGAAGAGAAATTCTCAATCTTCCAGATATAAATGCCATTACATTGCTGTGCCTCCATTTCAGCAATTTTCCCCTCTAGGTTTCTGATAGTACGTTTGAGCTCAACCATGTTAATACTCTGAGTTTCCATTTTAGCAATCAGCTCTCTGATTTGGTGATCCTGTCTTACCAAGCGACCTTCCAACTGCTGAATTGTCTCCTTGAAGTTCTCTACTTCCGGGTTGCACTCATATGGGGAAGATGAAGGGTGGGAGAAGAGGCCTGGCTCAAAGGATGGGCCATTGGAGAAGGATACAGGAACTGTGGCAGTCACACTGACACTTAGGAGAGTCTGAGCCATCATTCTCATGTGAACCTGAGTAAATTCCTGCATGTGGCGTGCCAATTCATTTCTCTGCATCTAGAGTTTAAAGAGATGTGACATTATGAACATAACAAGAATTGGCAACATTTCATGCAACTGAGTCACAAATATTTGGCTTTAAAAAAACAAACAGCTGTACATAATAGGAATGTGATCAGTACTATCAGATGTGATGAAACTGAAGACAAGTTGCAGAATTGATAGAAGTTTGGGGCGCAAGGGATATCAGTAGATCAAGTCTGACCCCCTACGCTCTGGGTAGGAAAGAGCGCTGGGGTTAGATGACCCCAGCCAGGTGCATGTCTAGCTTCCTCTTAAAGACCCCCAAGGTAGGGGAGAGCAACACCTACCTTGGAAGCTTATTCCAGATCCTGGCAACCCTTACCATAAAGAAGTTCTTCCTGATGTCTAACCTAAATCTGCTCTCTGTCAGTTTGTGGCTATTGTTCCTAGTTACTCCAAGGGGTGCCTTGGTAAACAAAGCACCTCCTATTCCTTGCTGCCCCCCCCCGGAAGAATTTTTAGGTGGCCACAAGGTCACCTCTCAGCCTTCTCTTGCGGAGGCTGAAGAGATCCAGGGAGTTCAATCTCTCTTCGCAGGGCTTTGCCTGCAGGCCCCTAACCATACAACCTCTGAACCTTCGAGGTTGTCCACATCCCTCTTGAAGTGTGGCGCTCAAAACTGGACCCAGTACTCCAGCTGTGGCCTGACCAATGCTGCATAGAGGGGAAGCATCACCTCCCTGGACCTGTTTGTCATGCACCTGCTAATGCATGATAAAGTGTGGTTAGCTTTACTGACTGCTTTGTCACACTGATGACTCATGTTCATCTTGGTGTCAACAATGACTCAGAGATCCCCCTCTGCTGCTGTGCTGCTAAGAAGGTCCTCCCCTAGCCTGTAAGTGCACTAGTGATTCTCTCTCCTTCAGACAAATAGGTTTAATATTTTCTTATACTGCAGCACTACAGTCCCTACATGGCACTGCTGTAATGGGAAACCTAAATATGAAGATGCTCAAAAAAGCTAGGGAGCAGCAAGATGAAGAGAAAAATTACATGATTAAAAGGAGGCAAGGTGACTACAGAACATGGGAATATTTCAGCAAATTAGTATTTTCACAAAAATGAAATAAAATAATTTGGGGATCATGGAGATGCAAGTCACATCATTAAATTTCTCTTTCCCCTATATTTCAGGAGTTATACAAGTACAAAATATACTTGTGAATCAACATAGGTGAGAAAAAAAATCATTCACCAAAACTTAGCACTCAAAAACCTTCTGTCAATGTTCTTACCCTACCCTTACTGATTTCTACAGGAGCAAAGTCAGGCCACCACTTGGTCCTTTCCACAATGCCACTCAAAATCAAGCCAAGATCAACTGTACCTAGCATCGGGTAAGAGAGTAACACGCTCCTTGCATCTGCGGAATAAGAATAGACCTACCTTTTCAGGACATCCAAAGGCACTGTAAGTACATGGTACTGGGGCTGTAGGACAGTCATTATCATAATGATTAGGCATCTAAAAACAAAGTCAGAGTTAAGGTTAAAATACCTTACATTAAAAATCTTATATTTTCTTCAGATCAAAGTTTTCTAATATCAGAAAAGATATGATTACCTTAGCTGACATGTGGAAGTACCTACATGTCAGCTAAGTACACGCAACTAGGAGGCATCTCCTGGGTCAATGAGTCCAGTTTCAGGCTAGATCAGGCTTGTCCAACATACGGCTTGTGGGCTGCTGTGTGACCGCCAAAGCATTTTCCAAGGCCCGAGGTGCTGCAATGGGAAATGAAAAGTAAACACTGTTTACTTTCGTTCCCACCCCTTGTTCCTCCCCCAACCCCTCAGCAGATTCCTAATAGATGTTGAAGGGCTGGGGAAAGGACAAGGTTCCCACATACACGGCATCAGCTTGACGTTGCTGACGCGGTACGTGTGGGAAGAGAAGTAGCCATGTGCCTCTCGGGACAGGATGAGCCCGGCTGGAGCAGTAGGGGCTCAGCTACACTTTCCCCCTACCTGTGCAGGTCAGTCCCAAGTGACACATGGCTCCGCCGCTGCTTCTGCTGGCTGGTGCCAACCTGGGCAGGTCTGCCCCATACGGAGCAGCATGCAGCTGAAGCTGGATTCCCACATGCTACTGGGGATGGGAGGAGCTCGGCCGGGTCGGCACCGGCCAGCAGAAGTGGTGGCAGAGCCATGTGCTGCTCAGGACTGACCGGTGCAGGCAGGGGAAAATGCAGCTGAGACCCTGCCACTCCAACCGGGCTCATCACATCCCAAGCAGCACACGGCTCTGCCATCACTTCTGCTGGCCGGTGCAGACCCGGCTGGGGTCCTCCCATCCCCAGCAGCACATGGGAAGCCGGCTTCAGCTGCGTGCTGCTCCCAATGGGGCAGACCTGCCCAGGTTGGCACCAGCCAGCAGAAGCAGCGGTAGTATTCTCAAAGTATTCTCAAAAATGCACATATTTTGTTGCTTTGATTAGTTTCCACTCTGGCCGATATCTTTTCCACATCTGATCTGTCGACTTGCATTACGCTTCTTTCTTTCATTCACTGAGAAATGAGTAGAAGTGAAAGTATTTATTTTAGTCAAGTGTTTGGTATTTTTCCATTGTTGCTTTTATATTGTTTTTATTTGGATTTTAAGCCACATTTCATTTTCACTTCCTGCAACTTCATTGGTGTCAAAGGTCACGCAACATCACTTCCTGATGTGATATTGCTTCTTGTGAGGTCTTTGAATATGGCTCACTGGCCTACTGGGTGATAAAAAAATTCATGATCCAGCCCTACATTCAAAAAGTTTGGACATCCCTGGGCTAGATCATAACATTATAACCCTTTTCATAAACTGATAAAGTTCCACCATCAAATTAGCTAGGTTTTTTTACCCCAGTCCTTTTATGGAAATACTGTTCCAAAATCTCATTCCTCATAATTCCAAATCTAAATTTATTCCTAGTCAGTTAACAGACTTGTTTTTATGCCAGCATTGTTCCTTAGCTTAAATACTTTCTCTTCCTCTCTTGTATTCATCCCTGATACATATACAGAAAGCAAACATCTCCTCTCTCAAGCTCTGTTCTAAAAGGCTAAGCAAGCCAAATTCTTCCAGGTTATGCCTAGGATTGTATTTGCCCCTCTCGTAGCTTTCTGACAACTGGTGGAAGACTCTTGGAACTGATAACATGAATCAAAACCTAAATAAGTGGCTATCCTTTAAGAGATTTTAACAGTACAGGGTAATCATCATCATTATATACCAGCTTGCATCTTAGTCACCGTTTGCATGAACTGCTGACCAAGAAGGTCTGACAGAAGATTTTCAATGACTGTGACATCAATGGACACTTTCTACACAATGGGCATTTATACACATACATTTTTGTGCAGGGATTAATTGAGTCTGCTCCACACGCAAGCTGATGTGCACTGTGCTGTGGTGTGTACAGTTGTATAAGTGGTGAAATGCACGTCAGTGTGCAGAAAGTGGGGAAGGTGTGCTTTTGAATGAAAGTGCCTCTGATATATTTTAGTTCAAAAGCGCTCTACCACCATTTTCTCACTGGTGGCACGCACGTGACTACTTATATAACTGCAGGCACCACAGCGCCAGGTGCTTTTTCAAAGCACTCGCCACTGTGGTGTGTGCATGTGTACAAATGCCAAATATGCACACATGACAGCAAGACTTATTATAGCCTTGATGCAACTGGTCCTTCCAGGTTCAACCATAAAACAGTAGATAAATGAAGATCTGCTTGGATTCCTGTTTAACTCCACTCTGTTGTCATTATTGCCAGACCTGAATATTAATACACTCACTAGCCTTGTCAGGAGAAAGGATTTCTGAATAGCGTAATTTGCTGCCAAAACACAACATTTACATTTTCCTTGAATTTCAAACAAAAGTGGTGTTACACATGCATGCACAAACAATCTGACCTATAATACATCAGAAATTTAAATGGGAAAAGTAAAAATCTTAAATCATTTCCAATTAATAGGCTGTTTCTTGCCATTACCTCCATTTGAGATTAAGGTATTTCATATTTGGACTGCTTCCCGAGCCGATATGGACATATGGAGAAAGATAGCCTCTTACCTGTTCTCTAATGAGCACAGTATTACAATATTCACAAAACACATTTGCCAGTGGACAGTGCTCTTCATGATGCTTCAGTTGTTGAAGAGGTGAGAAAGAAGATAAGAACCAATTAGTTAAACACAGAAAGTTAAAAAGAATTTTTTATTATTGAGTAACCTGTACTCTGTACTCTAGATGACCAATTCTTGATTGTTTTTTAAGCAAGCTTTATATTTTGGTAGTTTTAAATCAGGAAATAGGAAGGTACTGAACAGATTTCCTTCCTCATTTTCTTCTCCCTGAATACACAAGTATCCACACTTTCAGGGGTTTATTCTGTTCTTGTATCAGAATTAGTTTTTAAATTAATAAAAACGTCTTACTACTCGACAAACACCACAAATGTGATAACATTCATTTACATAGCAACTTCCATTCAAATCTGTTTTTTCAAAAAGGCTAATATGCCAGGCCTATTTACAAGTAAGGAAATTGGATCCCCAAAATGGTAATGTGTCCTAGATCACCAACATTAGATTTAGAGCTAGGAACATAACACAGAACTATTTCTAGTCTCTTACTCTAAGGAGAAATCTATAGATGGGTGAACAGCTCCCTCAGCACCATGCTTATTTTGATCAGACAGAGCGAGTCCGTGAGTGAGCATGTGTGCGTGAGTGAGCACAGGAAAAGAAAACATATCTATCAGGATTTTTGCCCTTTGGTTATTTCAGGTCTTTTTAAAAAGGTTGCTGTAGAATACTGACATTGTTGCAACTGCTAGTAAAGCTAAAAAAAAATTTAAAAAAGTTAATGGTTTCTTTTTAGGCAAACACTTTTACCCATCTATGCACTGTACAGTCCCCAAGAATGGTGATACAAGTATGACCCTTTTCAAAAGAAGGCTACTCTTTAACCTGCCCTTGAAGGGCGCCTGTACTCATTATGGGGTCTAATCCATATTAATTTAAATAGGTTTATAAAATTTAAACTTGTTTATTTTGGAGCATCGTATCAGCGTTTGTGCATACTAGATTTTCAAACAAATTAAGCCCAGTTCCTGGCTGGCGCTGCAGGAGAGTGGGATGGTCCTGTGCTGCCTCCCTGGCCCAGGGCCCTTCACCCTGTGCCCTGCCATGCAGCTGTGGGAGCAGGGAGCTGGCACATGGCACAAGAAAAAAAAAGTGGCAGTAATTCAAAGGGGTGAACTACAAAAAAGCCACCGCCACCTGGTGGACAAAGCGGCTCATTACATGCCTTTCATTGCCTTTGCACACAACAAATCCATGGACACAATGCTTTAATTCGCAGCAAACCAAACTAAACTATGTCCAAGGAGTTTCAGTTTAATGCACCAGAAAGACTTCAAGCGACTGGAAAACCTGCTTGTGCAAAGTTATGCCACTGCACTGCAAGAAAAGGCAAAAAACACAACGTGTACAAACACCCAAAGACAATCAGGAGCTCACAACTTTTGTATGGTAAGCACAGCAGAAGAAACTGCTTTCTTTCTGAAGCAAACTAAAAAACATCCGTTACTGATTCCGTCCTCACCTCTTTATCTTCATAAGCCATAGACGTGGCACAGTTGGGACAGCAGACTTTCCGCCGTGGACATTCCTGTGTCATGTGCTCTTTCATCTGATTCTTCTGGAAGGAGCCCAGGCACTGCGGGCATTCCACACATGAAAAGTTACACTGCAACTGATGCTCCTATATAACAGCAATAAGACGACATAGTATTAAAAACAAAATGAAAAATTCAGGTACCACATTCTCATTAGTCTTGAAAATAACAGAAAAGCACTTTTAGGCTTTTCTTTGTTGCCCAACCAGCCCACAGAGTGATTGGTCTACACAGACACTTATATACTTTAGCAGGGCACCACTGACTTTAATGACAGCCAGAATTTGGCGGGGGGGGAGGGAAACCATAATAGAATTAGGGTTTGAAAAGACTAGACAGTGTTTCAACACTGTACTTATACAATCAGTAAAATAATTGCTAGTTAAGCCACTGTTTATCAAACTTCAACAATTATTTTAAAAATCAACTATTATTCTAGCTGTTGTAAAATCGCTGCTAGCAGATATTATGGATGCTGAGGGTGCATCTACACAAGACATTTACTGAGCAGCTGACTAATTAGCTCCACAGTAGTCTCAGCATCTACAGTGAATCCCTGTTAGGGAATAATAAACTAAACGGTGCCATAGGTTAGTATTTGTCAACACAAGTACAATCCTATGGTGGCATTGTTTAGTGCACTGCAATGCACGTGTAGATGTTGATGGGGTTGGTTGGAGCACAAGGGTGCTTCAGTGGCCCCAAGCAGTCCCTCCGCAGCTTGTTAAGTCAGACTGGAGCAAGTCCTGGATTGGCAGGCGAGTGACTCCTCTCTGCCAACTAGGGTTGTTATGACCTGGCTCAACATGCTGTAGTCCTGAGCGTACATGTAAATGCTGCACCCAGGAGCAGTAGACTCCAGTGTGAACTGTGCTGGAGTTTATTCCATCACATTAACTACAGGTGTAGATGCACCCTGCAGATAGAAAACTGCCACATGCATGATAAAACTTGATCAAAATCATCTCTGACAAGAGACAGTCTACATCGCAACCAGGGTGCTTAAGAGAGTAGTATTATTTATGTAGCAAAAAATATTGCCTATAAGCTATGCCAAACACACTTGAGTCACTTAAACTTAGATCAACCACTTTCAAAGAAACAGTAGCAGACTTGAATAAAATCAGCAATGGATTTGAACAACAAATCAGTAGGACGAAAATTGCTTAACTGAAGTCATTCAGGGATTTTAAGAAACTTTTAGAAATAGAAACCACTTTATTTGCATTTATAAAATGATTCCTACCTCTAGATGTCTCAGCTCCATCTTCAAACGGCACCCTTTGTTGGGACATCTCACTGTTAGCGAGAGGATTTCCCTCTTCGCAAAGTTGTCAGGGAAAAGTTGATTTTCAAGTAGAATTTCATTGTCTACTGGACATTTGTGACCTGCATCTCTACCATAAGAGGAGGACAAAGGGTATTTTTGTATAAAGTGAAAGAACAGCAGATTTCATAATTCTTCTCTTGCCCTTATTTTAAAATCTTCTTACACACCAGTGAGAAACTGTTGTCATATTTAAAGAATAAATTAAGCACATGTCTACAAGTAATATAGTTAAATAGCCAAGAGTAAGCAAAGAATAAACTAAACATGTGTAAAACAGCCAATTGTGATCAACGCTTCTGAAGTGTAATACTACTAAAAAAACCCTGATACTATAACAACACACACAGCTGCACATAACTGGGTTAAAGACAAGGAGCATGTGTGGTTCAAAGATCAAAGGCCATACCATTGTCTTAGTTCTCACATTCTTGCTAGCAGAGACCTGCTGCAGTGGTTCTTACCAAGGGTGCTAAAGGGGTACCTTTAGATCCTCTCACAGGCGCCATGTAATGTCAGGCACGCACACAAAATTCACAAGACAAATCCCGAGACTTCAAATAGGAGTCTATAGTGTTAAAAGTATTCTGACCTGTTGTGGTCCAAGTTGTTTGCAACAGAAGAAATGTTGTATTATTTTTCTGTAGCCAAAAAATGAGTGAAAACAATGAGCAGGCACTTCTGAGGAGTGCCTCAAATCTAACAAGGGATGCCTCAAGTCTAAAAAGGTTGAGAACTACAGACCTAGGGGTTTGGAGAGGATCTGAAGGTTTTGTTCTTTGCTGAATAAGGAAATCACTGATCAGCAGCTCTACTATTGTTAGGGGAAGTAGGGCAGAGTTGAGACTTAAAAGAGATTATGAACTTCCGTTTGAGAGTTTTGCTTTTAGGAGGTGGTTTGCCAAAAGGCGCTCTCACTCCTTAACAAGCAGAAAAAACAAAGCAGTGGTATACTATTTCAGATCTTACAGCTTGCTCAACACAGTGAGCAGCCTTGTAATACTGAATAGACCTCCTACGCAAAAAGCAGTTAGACCAGGTATAGCAATGTCACGCAGTTCCCATGCTCTGTTTATAATGAAGTTTATGGGCAACTTGCGGGGAAGGGCTTTCAGAAGTGAGCCGCCTGTTTCCAGATGTAAAAAGCTATACTGTGCTAACACTTAACCTACTGTTAGTTAATGCTAGGCAGCAACATCTATGTCTCTAACTTTTAAATTAATCAGAGGAGTGGGGTCTGCCTCAAGTGTAGAATGGGGATCATACACATGTGCCTATTTTAGCCAGACACGACTCTTTAATCAGTGACTGCCAAGGACTAGCTAAATGCTAAGCATCTACAGGAATGTTTAGTGTGTTTAGTAACCATAGTAAGAATGTAACATGGATGTCAAGGAGAAAAAAAAAAGAGAAAAAAGCTCACAGTGGGAAGATACCATGCAAGTTTCCCGCATAATTCAGTTTATACACTCCTCTACTAATCTGAACCTATTGTTTTTCAAGTCTGGTGGATTTTCTGAGAAGTGACTGCCCAACAAGATAAGTTACATCACCTTGGATGGTGCACATGACTAGGGACCTACTGAAATTCCGATTTTGTGATTTTTGCAGAAACCATGAAAAAAATCAGTAGGCCCCCTGAGAAAAAGCACAGGGACTTCAAAAAAAGGCCAGCGTGTGGGGGGCTGGGAGCAGTGGAGGAAGGGGGAGGAGGGGGGGAGGGCTATAAATAGAAAATGGCAGGAAGCCCTGGTGTCCTGAAGCATGGGGGGGTGGGGGGAATTTTCACGGAGAGCATGTCTCTGGCCAAAGGGCACCGAAAGTCCTGCCCCTCCCCAGAGGGCCAGGACATTCAAGGCTCCTGGTCCAGTGAGAGGCGTGGAGGGCCTGCCACACTGCTGCAAAAATAGCAACTGGCACTGTGCTCAGACCACGAAATTGGGAAGCAGCTACCCCAAATCTGGTAGGTCTCTACACATAACATGAGCAAAAATCCATTAGGAAGTATTCTTAGAACATTCAACTAGCTTCACTAGTGACCTAAATTCAGATGTGGAAAGGAAAGCCACACCACCACCTAAAAACTAAAAAACTGACCCACAATGCTACAGCACTTGGGGCGGCTTCTCTGAGAAGTGTAATAACAAGGCTGTTGTTTAATCAAAGTCATCAAGTGCATTGTATCTTAAATGCTTATCAGAGTATGTAGGTTGGGAATGATGCAACAAGTATAAAGGAAGAAGGCAAAGTAAGAGAACTAGTCTATTTGGATGGCAAAAAGCTATTGCTTCAAACAGTTACTCCAAAAATGTTTAAAAAAATTTATGTAAGTTTAAGAAATCTGGCAAAAAGCATTCACTCCCTTCTCCGACTGTTTGAGGACATTGTGTGCATTAAATATGCAGATTCCTGAATAGGTTTAAGATAAGCTTCTCAAAAGTTTGAGTATTGTTGCTATAGTATAGGTCTGTCCACCTTCTAAGTAGTCAGGGGCTGTACTAGTGAGAGCCATAGGCTCCTGGAACTACAGCCCGCCCCCCACCCCCAAAGTTGCCCATAAAATTTCATTTTAAACAGATCATGGGCAAGGGGGGAGGGGAAGGGGGAGAGAGGAGGGTGCTGTTCCAGCATGACATTGTTACACCTGGTCTAATTTGATTTTTCCCCCTCCACTCAGCTGCCAATTATTTTGTTATAATCTTCCAAGTCTAGAATTAAATTACTGGAGGATCATTTTAAATTCATCCCTCCCCTATCACTGTCATGGGGAAAGCAGTGGCAGGGGCACAGATGGCAGGGTGCAGGTGGGGGGATGGGAAGGAGGTAGAGGGGGAGTGCAAGTCGTAACGGGGTGGGAAGGCAGCATGGGGCAGAGGTTGGTGGACAGGTGGCATGGACAGAGGCAACAGCGGCAGCTTTGACTCCAATCCCGAGTTGGGGCCAGAGCTGGTGCTGCAGCAGCTCTCCTGCCGCCACCTGTAGTTGAATCCAAGACAGGTTTTTTTTCCTCTACGTTGAATGGGGGAAAAAAATCTCATCCTGGATTCAAGTAAATAGAGTAGCTTACTTGTACCCCTCTAGGAGCATGCAAGTGTAATAGCTGCATCATAATGTTCCCTTTTAAAGTGCCTGGAAATTACCTCTGGCCACAGTCTAAGACTATACTTTCTGAGCAACCATTACATCTGATACAATGTTGGCAAACAGCTTGACTCATTTTTCCTTTCAGCTGATAACTGAATTGTTTGCAGACACTGTTTTGTCTACTGCCCAGCTCTCCAGGTTGCTTAATATTATTAGCATTACCTCCATATTTGGAGTAATCAGGATATTCTCACTTTTCAGCCAACTCTACTGGTTCTATTAGAAATAGCCTCTCTTTAGATGAAACTACAGCAACTTTAATTAGCCAAAATGTGCTCGTCTCCCCAAACTGAAAAGGGACAGAAAGTTTTTGTGGGTGTATCAATAAAGGGCATGACTCCAGAACTCAGACCCTTCTACATAATATTTCTGCTGGCCTAGCAAAAAGATGTTTCTGACTTTTGGTATGTACTACAAGCCTGATGTATGTTGTGGCCACAGAAGATACAGGGTTCTTATTTTATTTAGTTATTGGATTTGTGTTTAGGGATTCACTTCTAAAATTTGCTAACCAAAAGAAAGCAAAAGCAATTACTCTAAGCTGAAAACCAACACTAGCAGACACCTAAGAAAGTCAGTTAACTTGCAACAGCTGATCACAACCTCATCTGCTATTACCTTTACTCACAACGAGGCTAAAGCTTTTTAAGAAGTAACTTAGCTGACTGTGATCCCATCCATGTTATCTCTGTAGCCTACATGACATAGCTTAACATTTCAGTTTTAACTTTTTTTGATACCTCATGGATGAAGACAGCTTTCCAAACACGGCCCAGTTCTAACCAATGGAACATGGTCTACCCGAGTTTACCAACAGACTGAAACAATGACTCAGAGGTGTGAACTCGCTTGTGCCTTGAAACAGTGACTCAGAGATATGAACTCACTAGCTCCTTATTAAATCTTGCTGGAATATCAATTTTTAAGCTCAGTGATGACAATTTGGTGTCAACTTTAATGCATACAAGCAGAGGGAAGAAAAAGAGATCAGGAAGGAAGAGAAAAGAAAGGTAGATATTGAAGTTTTCAAGTTGAGTAGATTTTCCACACTAAGCACTGCTTGTGACAATTGCATTGAACATCTGTCTACTGAACATTTTGTTACTACACAATGGTCATTTCCCCCTTCTGAGGTTCTTACTGACATCACTGTGAACAGTAGGTACCATGTGTAATCCAACCTATGGATCACAATTAAGCAAGGAATTCAGCACTTTCCCCTGAAGGAGTTGGACACCTGCACTATAAACTCTGCTTTCATTAATACTCACTCCAAGTGAAATCTGTCTTGGCTATGTGACTGAAGTAAATAAAAAGTTACTGATAGCCCTTGGAAAATCATGGGAATGACTAATGGTCTCTCACACCTGCAAGTGTTTTATAGTCACTGAAATAATGAATACTAGACTGAAAGAGGACAGAAGTAGGAAGTGCCACAGCTGTGAATCAAAACCTGTAGTTATTAACAGCATTTACAGGTGACACTTACCAGACTATCTGTACTGCAGTTAAAAGAAAAGGCAACTGTTTCCCAGGCTCTGGGGTTTAAAACGGAAGCTTCTCCACCTGGCAGAAAAATGTAGTTGTTTTGAACACCACATCTCCCCTACTTCCTCATTAAGCACTGCTATAGGAAATCTCTATGAACTGGCAGACTGTCACAAACAGTAGTTAAAAAAAGATGGTCATACTAGGAGATTATCTCAAAAGGAAAGCTGAAGAATCCTACCGATGGGTATTTTTATAAAAGAGTTTTCTCTTGATCTGGCTAGATGACCAAGATATTTCTAAAGCTCCATATAACCAAACATCCAGGCTATCAGCTTGGAAGTTCCAATAACTTATGTCCTCTTGAGACAATTTTGACTTTTTACATAAATTTCATCATAAAAATCCCAACGTTTGTGTGAGCAGAGGATAGGTACTGGTGTCAGTACACAAAGCAAGTCTGGTAGGAATATATCAAGGGGGGCTTCGTTTCCTATGTATCCAACTAATATTACACAGACTTAATATACAAATGCTAAAGCCTTGTTTTAAAGACTAAGAGTTCCTCCCATGTTAGATTACACAGGAAGAAGCACGTATTTGAAGTTACGTAAGACAGTGACATTACAAGAGTTAAGGTTGGAAAGCCAAACCCTTAACCTCAGTTCTGGTATTTTCTTTTATCTGTACAACCTTAATTTGGTTCTAGTACTTATATATGTGCAGATTTTTATTTCTGCAGGCCCTTGCCTCATTTAATGCAACTCAAAAGGGCACTGTGAAGATCAATGTATTAGTACATTATACATTAGTAGTGGCAGCCGTAGAAAAACCATGGAGAATAAAATTTTGTATTGAGAGAAGAGTTTGTATGATGTGCAATAAATAAGGCATTTTGTGGGCAACACATTGAACAACAAGGATGAAGTAAAATACAGGGTAGAGGCTTATTAACTAAGCACTATCCAGCACTTGCTGCAAGTGAAACAGGTTCCTATGGGAAAATGGTATGTGTACACTTTTTCACAACTATTACATTGGAAGGTTGCATCAAACTCAATTCTGGCATTTCTCTACTTTCAAATGAACAGCTCTGTAACCCATATCGCTTTTATAAATGCCGTTTCCGAGGCCAATTTTTTTTGTAAAGTAGACTAAGACAAATTGGTTTCATCATGTGGCACCATACTGAGTCCCACCTGGGTCAGCAGAGTTGGACCCTTTGGATTAAAGCCCAAATGGCAGAATTCTATTTGAAGGGAACATGCAGCTCGATCAGTGGTTCTAATCCTTGTTTGTACTGGGACTCATTTGTAAACATCCATCAGTCCCCACCCAGTGCCTCTCACTCCCGACCTGCTGCCTCCCACCCCTGGCCCCCTGTGTGAGGTTGGGGGGGTGGGTGTGTGGGGCATACCTCCAAGCAGCCCCTGGTAGACTGCAGTTCTGCCAGCCTGCAAGAGAAAAGCCACAGTTTCTGGTTTTCTCCTTTAAAGCAGAATTCATTTTTAAAAAGTGTGTTGATCCATTTTTAAAGTTTGTTTGCAACCCTTTCATATATTCTTGCAACCCACTTTTGGGTTGTAACCCCCAGGTTAAGAAACAGTGAACTGGATTATTCTTAGTGGGGGAAAATGACAGACCAATGAGCAATGGTCTCAATCTGCAGCAAGGGAAGTTTAGACTAGATATTAGGAAAAAAAAATGTTCTCACTACAAGGGTAGTAAAACACAGGAACAGGTTACCCAGAGAGGTTGTGGAACACCCATCCTTGGAGGTTTCTAAGACCCAGCTGGACAAAGCTGTGGATGGGCCTGCTTTGAGCAGAGGGTTTGACTAGATGACCTCCTTAGGTCCCTTACAGCCCTAATTTTCTATGATTCTAACAAATAAAAGGAGGACAATTTGCTCCTGAGCTACAGGGCGATATCACATGTTTGACAGGTTGATTCTAGGTTCCGAAAGAAGGGTGGTGTAGTAGCTGGATAACCTCCTGCCTCCCTTACTTGATCATCATTCTTCCGAGACAAGCCCATCTGTTCCTCTGCACCCTCTCAGGTTCTTCAGGTAGAGCCTCTACCAGCTGTTTGGATCAGTGTAATCCCCTGTAACTCTCCTCAGATCAGCCTCCTTGTTTACTCCCTGCTGCCTGGACATCATTAGGGGGAACACTGGAAACCTGCTGTTCCTGCAACTAGTATAATAGTAGTCTCCAGGTACCCAGAACCACTGCAGTGAATGGCCTGCATAGCTTTGGCCTGGAGCATGATCAGCACAGACAGAATCTCTGGACAATTTAACTGATGAACAAATCTCTGCAGTGCATATCCAGAGAGATTTACAGAAGCCTTTATGTTTGTCCATCTTTTAGCCAAATTTCAAACCTTTGCTGTCTTTAACACAGAGACAAACACCTTGAACATATTAGAATATTAAGCAGGAAGGTGCTAGAGCATCTCAACAAGATAATCTAAAGATTTGTATTTAAACTATGGATTGACAACTTATTTTCCACTAACCTTGTTCTGAAAAAGAAGCTACTATTTATGCTAAAATTATCAAAGCGAAAAGAAAAGATATATGCTCATTTTGAGGCACATACTTGGCCTGAACAGTTGAAGTTTGGCATTTATAAGCAAAGGTGGTTTTAGGGAGCAATCTAAATATAACTGCTCTGCATATGATACAGCACAGGCAGTCCTTAACTTACAACATTTATAAATTGACACCCTGTTTCAATTTTACAACACCAGTTTAGACTTTACAGTGCTTGATCTGATGCAAGTTTGCTATGTCACTCATCTCCCTGGAGAACATCCGTCCAAACCTGCTTGGACACTTTCTTTAAGAAAGCAGACAAGACTCCAGAAAAACCTGCAGCCAAGACCCCTTCAAAAAGTCCAGCAAAGTCACCTCAAAGAAGTCCTTCCAAATCAATACGATTGCTATTTACAATATAAATACATTAATGTAGCTATATTACTCATCTATTATTGATCGAGTACAAAATTCTGGGGTATTTCTGGTGATTCTCACAGGTCATAATCCATTACACAGCAACAACACAAACATGTAATGTGCCTTCGCAAGTTGCGTTGTGCTTAAGTTGCCCCTAAGCAGCTGTACTCAAATTGGTACATGTACTTTCTTTGTAGATTCAATTCCCATGAGCACTCCTTTACCTTATTGATTTGACAATGCAGCCTTTGCAAAAGCGGTGTCCACATGGTGTCTGCACTGCTTCCCGAAGAGCCATCAAACAGATAGGACACTCGTATTTACTTTCCAGGGGCGGATCAAACTCCACATCATATCCCTGGGTCTCTTCTGTGAAGGAATTTGGTGCATTTCCAGTCCCACTGCTGACACTTGCACTGTCTTCTTTTGCTCCAGCACTGCATGCGCTGGCCATGGCTGCACAGCAGCCACTCTCCAGTTCTCTGGCTCCACAGCTGTTATCACTTTGTAGCAAGCTCATAGTAACCAGCTCAGTGCCAAGGAGGCGCTCTGCAAGGCAGAAAGTCAGTGTTAAATTAAGTATTTGAGGGTTCTGCTTTCTAACAGGACATCAATCCCACCCCTAACACAAACAACATGGCACCTGTAAGATCTTTCACAGATTTTTTTTTTAGTTTATGAACTCTTGCTCTTTTTCCCATCATCATCATCATGCAGCCTCTGAGGAACAGCAAGGTGGGTTATCTTACACCAAAAACCAAATGCAGTCCTTATGATGTTGGCTCCATCTCCAATTCTAGTTAAAACCTATTTTCCCCATTGGCTGTGCCTATTAAGAATGCCCCTTTTTTGTTTTCATACTATGTATTTCTAAAGTATTTCAAGATTGTTCAAATGAAAAAATGCTGTCCAAAATGTTTTCTTACAATCAATCCCTTGCTTTACATTTCCTCTGGTACCATGCGTCACACCTGACATTTTTAGTAAAGCAAGACTCATGGTTTAGGTTTCAATTTATTTGATAAGAGAATTTTGGGCATATGCCTCCAAATAAAATGTAATACAAATAACTTGAAGAAAGTAGATACTGAGCTGCAAAATGTGAGTTAAACATTACGATGCTGATAAGATTTTCTCATATTGGCAACAGAAAATTTCAATTTAGTTAGACTCTATAAAATATGAGATAAGGGCCCCATTTCTGCAGTACAAGCTAGAAAAGCTAGCTACATACTAATAGTACTCCAAAATTCTTTCCTGATCTCCTGTCCCGCCTTCTGATGTAGCTGGAAAAACAATATTAAAACAGGAAATGGGAATTATCTCTCTCTCTGCAAAGGACAGAATTTTCTAATAAAGTCAGTTTCTTAAACAGTGCTCTCAAACATGCAGAACTCACTTAGCAACAAAGCTGGTAAAGTCTATTTATCCAAAAGGATTCAACAGAAATTGGAATATTCATAGTTTACACCTTTCTTTAAAACCCTCTATTCCTTTTAGCAATAATTTGACAAGTCTAAAAATAGTTTTGTTCCATTACTGATGTCCTTTATGATATCAAAGACCAATTTTGCTGCCTGTATTTATACTGAAGTTATTTGGATCCATTTGTGGTTTGCTTCCAATACAATATATACTTAAGTATGCAGTCACTAAGGAGTGTGACTATGTTAACGCTGTAAAACTAAGCACTTACCGGTAGGGAATAGCAGATTTAAGATTATCTGTGTAACCTTAAAATGGTATCCATACCCACAAGCATTATGGATATGGAGGATTAAATGTCATGGCTTCATACCATTTGGCTACAGCTCCCCCACCTCATTCAGAACATAAGATAGAGATTTGCAGTTTAATCAGAGTTGGGCAGTAAGTCTGCCTATAGACCCACATGTATTATTTATTGCAGAAGCTGGCAGGTGAGTGCTAAACGAGCCATGGTATTAAGGAAACTGAATGCTACCCTGATTAATCAGATTCTATCCCTGCCTTTGCCAGAGCTGTCCCATGAGTCACTTCAACCAAACATTCACTGGCTGTTACTACCCATGTTCCTCATTTTCTGGGCGTACAGTACGAGGTATGGGAGCAGATTTGCAGAAGTACTGAGCACTCAGATATGCAACTGAAGTAATCCGGAGCCATGTACTGAATATATTGTCACAGAAGTGCATTTTAGTCAACCTTAACTGTAGGCAGAACAGATGACACTGCCTACAATAATGGGATAAAATGGTCATATTTGGCCCAAAACTAAAAACAAATAATAAATAAAAAAATCCAATGATGAAATCTATTAGACTGGAATACCTGAAATGAAATGTTTGGGTCACTTAATCTTAGACTGGATATAGTCTTGATGGGTTACTATAGGCGGATGGAGAAAAAATTATTTGGGGGGACTGAGTGCGCATACGCACCCCCGAGCAGGTAAGTCTGTGGGGAAGGGGTGGGGGGAGGGGAAAGGGCCATGGTAGGGGAGGGAGTGGGGCTGGGGCAGGCCCTGCATAGCTGGGGCAGGGCATAGGACAGAGCCAAGAGAGGCTCATTTGGGGGGCTCAGGGAGGGGGTGGCCCTAGGAGGGCATGTGCCCCTGGATCTGCCTGGGACGGGGCGGGCTGCTGCTGCAGGCTGGGGCTGAGCTCTTTCCTGCGGGGGCTGAGCTGGGCTGCACTCGGGGTAGGCAGCAGCGGCACTGGAGGGTGGGGGACGGTTTAGGGGGGCTACAGCAAATATTGGGGTGGCTCCAGCTCCACCTGAAACCCCCCTTCAATACCACCACCACAAGCGCAGCCTGGCCCAGTCCTGCCCCCGCTGGGAAGAGCCTGGCGCAGCCCCGGCCCCAGCAGATCTGGAGGCACACTGAACCCCATGGCTCCAGGAGTGCGCGTAGCAGGAGTCGCAGCCCCCAGATGGGCCACTCACAGCTCAGTCCCACACCCTGCCCCACCCCAGCTGTGCAACATCTGTCCCTCCCTCAGTCCCAGCCCCACTCCCATTGTCACCTCTGCGCATATTTCCTTTCCCACCTTGCTGCAGCCACTGGAAGCCCACAGCCAGGCTGCTTTGCAGCCCTACTGCTGACCCACATTTGGGGGGGGGCGGGCTAAGCCCCATTAGCCCCCGCTTCCACCGCCTACGTGGGTTACACCTTATAGAAATATCTTCCATCAAGAAGAAAGGGCTTCCCATTACCACATGGATTCTATCTGTAGCATTTATGAGTTTTCAGCTAGGAGTGCAATATTCATGTTTGTGCTGTAGTCAATGTGTTGAAATGTTAAAACCTTAACAGATATGATGTACCATCTTGTTCTAGTCAGATTTTTAATTTGGGTTTTATTTAACTGAGTGCAGGAAGTGGTTTGCATATTTAAGTACTTCAGCACAATGAGGTTCTGGTTCATAACTAGGCCTCCCAAATACAGCAATATATAAACAAGCAGTTTATTGGCAACTGCTTGGAAAACAATGAGAAAACTATCCATTCATGTTAGTGCTCTGGAGTGACCCCCAACTGTATTAGCCAGACAGGTTTCCCCAAGTGCCAAGTTCTCCCTTGTTAAGGGAGAATCAGACACACACTTAGTGGGGCACAGATTTGAAACTAAGAACTCAGAGGATACTGCATGGAGATACATGAAGATATACTTATTGGGGTCCTAACAAGAAGTGGTATGCCAAGTTAAATGAATAAAGGATATCAAACATCAAGAATGCACTTTTTGTGGAAAACATGGATTAAATTGAGGCTTCCTGACCAGTGATTTAAATTAATTCGATTTAAATCAAATCCACCCTGGTTCTCACTAATCCACTGGTAAGAAGCTCCTAAAGGGAAATAACTACAGAACAAACCAAGCTGGAGGCATTGCAACCCTGGGCCCAGTCTAAGAATGACAGAATTATGTGATTCTACTCCCAGAGGAATGAAGGCACAAGGCCCAAGAAGCACCCAACATGGCCACACAAGAGAAAACAGGAACAAGCCAGCACAGACAAGCAGGTCAGGTTTGATGAGCACACATATTCCAGAGAGAAGCAACAGTTAAAGGAAGGTCTCCATCTTCGTTCGTTTTTTTTAAATCCTTGTTTAGCAGCACTTCAGCAAGATATTGCAAGTACTATCTAACTAAATAAAGGGTCACATCTTGCTATATAATCTTAATAGCTTGATATTTACAGTACTTAACAGCTATAAGTGCTGCACAAACAGAAAATTTATTCTGTTCCATCTTGAATTGTTCCTATAACCAGAATAGTTGTGCACCATTTAGTTCATGGAAACAAAAAACAACCACCAGATATATTCATTGTAATGGGTGAGTCAGAGCAACCAGTCATTGTCCCATAGTAGTACAACAAAAATCCCGTACTTTTACAACATGCTAACAGTCCCCTTTTATCTAGAGCTTTCCACCTGCACATCTCCAAGAAGCTTACAAAAAGAAGGCAAGTACATTTATCTCCATTTTATAAATTGGAAAGTTTAGGCACGTTAAAAAAAGGCAGATATAGGAGAGCTTTCTGAGCCTTGAAGTCTAGTAGAACTGTTATACAATAGCCAAAACCCATATTAGATCACTGCATTGTATTTTAAAATAATTCACTCTTTTTAAATGGAGTCTCTATTTTTTAGTCCTTTAGTTATTTATTGATATTAAGTCCATCTTTGCATCTGTTTTCTCCTTCGAAGGAACAGCAGCTGTGCCTCTACTCCTGCACACCCAAGTACCTAGTGAGCAGACACCTATTCTGTTGCACTGAAGGGTGCAGGCTTCTGTCTTGGACCAGCTGAGGAGATAATCAAATAAACTAACTGGAATTTATGATTTTCCTGGGAAAAGTACTGCATCCAAGTCCAGAAGCACCAGTATGATTTGTTCCTGGAAAATTTCCTCACAAAAGATAAACTTAAAATAAGCCATAGGCCAGGAAAAGGGGATGCATTTGAAAATGAAAGATACTTTCAACACAATACCCAATTTAATTTGTTTGTCCCTACACTTCACTAAGAGTTTACACACTAGTCAAAATTTAGGAAAACCAGAGACATTGAAAACTAGACCATTTTTTCTTCAATTACTTTGAGTTATATCCCTTCTTCTCCTGGTTCAGTAAGACTTCAAACTAGAGTTTGGCATTATGAATAATTTGCCAATCATTTAATTCCTTTGGCTCAGCATTACTGCTTATGGCAAAGGTTCAAAGGAATGTGCTTATTCATAATGACATGAGCATGGAGGTTAAGAATAAGATAAGTTACTCTTCCAAGAACATTTATTCAGTCATTTCTCTACATGAGAGCCACCAGAATCTCTGCAATCTTCTGTAAGGCGGAAGGGTTATGCCTTTTAGAACATTTATGCCTGGCAGCTTAGCTACAAAGGCAATGCCAAATTAAGCAGCTCATAATGCACGTTACTCAATTAACCAAACATCGAAAATTAAATCTGCATGTAAAAAAACCCAAACAGTAGCTTGTTCCCTTGTTCATGTAGAAGTACCCGAACTGGAACAAACCTAAACATTAAATTTAATGATGCTTC